GCCTGTCCCTTCACGGAGAAATGTTGTCAGCCGTGCTCTACGTAGGCAGTTGTCAGGGCTGTAGGCCCTCAAGCCCGTCACGCTGCTGCTGTCGCACCTGGTCTCACCTCAGGCCTACTCAGTGAGAAGTTCTGGGCTTGGGGCCTAACGATCTGTGGGTAATAGGTTCTCCGGGTGGCTCTGAAGACCACCACGGTAGGCTCCCGGCCCCGTGGCTAATGACTTGGGGTCTCGGGGAAGCGGACACCGGTAACAGGAAAGGAGGCGCAGTCCGAAAGCTGCGGGGAATCCGGAGAGGAGTCTCTGCTGGCTCATTCTAAACTACAGGTGGCACACAGGAGAGGACTCGTGTCCCCCCCTTGCCCGGAGCATGTCTGTGGGAGAAGGAGGGCAGGCCTGCGTGCGGGGAGAGGCGCCAGCCCCAAAAGGTGACTGGGGAACAGGGAAATAGGTGCACTTGGCAGGTGTCGCTCAGGACCGAGTCTGCAACCCACCCAGAGACGCAGAGTTACTACCAAAGACTGAGAACCGAAACTAATGTTTAAGAAGCTAACGATTTGAATAAAATTCTAACTTTCATTTAATCTCGGTTTTACTCGTTAACTTCTCATTAGCTGCCTTTTGGGTGTTTGTTGATTCCTGGGATTTCGTTCTCACCATCCGCTCAGCTGCACGTCTCTTTGACCTTGGATAATTTACTTCAACCTCCCCAAGGCTATTAACTGAATTAATACATGCAAAGCACTTGGCAGTATCTGATATATTTTCTCTAGTAAGGAAATCTTCCTGGTCCCAATCTTATTTTATATTGAAATAGGGGGAAAAAAAAGAAAAGAAAAGAAATAGGGGTTACCAAATGTTGCTCGTATTTGCCCATATTGACTCTGGTAGGAAGACTTTGCTTACTGACGTTCTTTCTTTATTTGTCTTTAAAGAAACTTCTGCCAAATAGCCCATGTTGTAATCTGAAGCCCAAGTTGATACGAGTTTGATTATTATGCTTTTTATCTTTTAGGAACATTATCACAGGCTTTTAAAAAATACAAAATAATCTAAGTACTAACCAAACATTTGCTCATATGGAAATAAGTCATTTTGAGGTTCTGTTATTTAGCAAAATATACATGTACTGGGAAAAGCATAATTTCTAAATCCATCATAATACAATTTACCGTACAGTTTTTAAATACGCTGCATGAAGCCTTTTATCTTTATTCGGGTAGAAACTCCACATTTATGTGCCTTTTAAAAAATTCTGCATACATTATGAACATCTGAAAGGGAAAATGAGGTTATTGAGGGCTTTACTAGGTGAGTAAATATTATTCCATGATTTTTCAGTGATAATTAAATCTACATTATGTCGAAGAGTCATCAACCTGAAACCTTTATAACTTTCGGCATAGTGACATTTTGAAAGTAAAATTAGTGTTTGAGGTGTTTTTTTTTTTTTAATTCCATAAATGCCATGGGAATTTTATCACGTTTCAACACTTGCGGAATATGTAATTCCCATAGTGCCCATTAGTGGCCATCTGTGTAAGGTAATACATGTTTGGGATGAAATTGATTATGGCTTAAACACTCCTGTGTTATGATCAGGAAAAGCACGCAAAGTTCAAATCTTTTCTTCTAATGGGCCTTATGTAGCTAAAGATATTAATTTCCAGGGCCAACACACCCTATCACTCAAGATCTTAATCTCACAATAAATGACACCGGGGCCAAAGGAAAGGAGGCTGTAGAGCCTTCTACTAAAATTAATAAGTGCTGAACCCAAGGAGTTCTTAGGATAAAAGGAAGATTAACAGGCTTGGGAACACAGTTTTTCCTGTGTAGACGTCCAAGTAGACCCACTGCAGTTTTGCTGAATATTCAGAACTGTTTCATTACCCTTTTTAGAAATTCCTGTTAGGATAGTCACCAACACACCCGGGTAGCCTGCTTGTTGGCTTTTTCTCCACATCCACGTCGCTGGCCCTACCTGTTTAGTCCTTAATATTATCTTCACCTAGTTTGAAAAGTGTTTCCTTTTTACTTGTGCAAAACCAGGTGCTTTCCTTCTTTCAGAGATGGCTTCAGTGTGATCCCCCTCATGCAGTCATGTTATTTTTATTGGATTTGTGCATGATGATACATAGACCTGTATACTTCCTGAGCTCAGTTCTCCCCTTCACGTTACAAGACCCACAAATATATTTATGTTTTTCTAATGAATGTGTTCACATCTTGGCTCTCCTATTATCTAGGTACCCAAGGATTTTGTGAGACATTATGAAAAATCATAATTTTTAGTAGAAATTTTTGAAAAAAAAAAAGAAAAAAGAATTTTGAGAGCTTGTTTTACTGGACTGGCCCCATGTTCATTAAAAAAAATCTCATCATTCCTTCTGTGGAATATTTGATATTTGAACACAGCTATATTCTGATCTTCCCCGGGATGGGGGCCAGGATGGTTTAGCTGCAAATGCCCCAAAAGTGGCTGAAAGAATGGATCAAATCATCGTCTAAACTTTGAAATACAGCAATTGTCGTGTTGGCATGGTTGTTGCTGAACTGTTCTTCCTTTTCATTCCTGAACTTCTTGATGATAATTATTCATCAGGTTATGATAGATTTCAAATCTGCTTCCCATTAAAGATAATAAAATAATACTATCTCCCTAAGGAAGGGAATTTGCCTTCCTGTCTTATGTATTATAAACTAAGAAGTCACGCATCAAGTGAATCTAATAGCTATATAACTTATTTGGAGTATATTGAAAAGAATATGGTCTAGATTGCAACAAACAGTACTTTATAATATTTGGGTTTTGGAATCTCTCTCTTTTTTTTTCTTTTTTTTTTTCTTTTTTGTCATTCACTCACTTTCACTAATGCACCAAACACTGAATGTTGATGTCAGTATTCTGGAGACGAAGTATAAACATGAACAAGACATGGCCCATACTCTTGACAAAACTCTCAGTTGTATATTTAAGCACTTAATCTGAGGAGCACCTGGGTGGCTCAACAGTTGAGCATCTGCCTTCGGCTCAGGGCATGACCGCGGGGTCCTGGGATCAAGTCCCACATTGGGCTTCGCTTCAGGGAGCCTGCTTCCCCCCCGCCTGTGTCTCTGCCTCTCTCTGTGTATCTCTCATGAAAAAAAAAATAGTTAATCTGAATATGATAAATTAAGATGTGAAGATGAGCAAAGCTCCATCAAGGCACTGCAGAGGGGAAAACTTGTTTTAGAAATAAAACTTCATAGAAGCAGTAACTTTTGAGTTTGGCCATGCAGGAGGAGCCAAGTCTCTCCAGGCAAAGTAAGGGAGAACATGTGGTGTGTATCTATAAACATGCACGCACACACAGATACACATGGACAGAATCACCGATGCACGTGCATGCCTATCTGTAAGCGCTGTGGCAAAGACTGTTGGCTGGCTAATTTAACGCCCATTCCCATTCCTCTTCTCTCTTGTCATCCCACAGTCAAGGCTGGGAAAGCTAAGTACTAACAGTTAAGGATGGCTGTGTAAAATATATTAACCAAATAGGGCGGTATTTGGAAATCTGCTAAGGACTTTTAGGAACACTTTTACTTTCAAATAAGAGATGGATACAGTGGGCATTATTCCCGGACTCCTATCTCAGGTGGTGGCTAATGTAATTACAGTCGTAGCAGACACCTGAAGGTGTTGAAAGAGACCTGCAGAGGGAGTTGAGCTGTTGGTCCCAGGCCCACAACTGCCTGTCCCAGGACTACTTATGGAAGGAACATCAAATCTTCTTTTAAGCCATTGTTAGATTTTTTTTTCCCGTTACTCGTAGGCAAAAGCATTCCTAACAAATACATCCATAAACTCTCTCGTGCTTATTCATGTGTGTTTGCATATATTTCCAATGCCTATCAAGACTTAGGACTAAGTTTAGACTTACATTTTTGGTAAATAGTAAACAGAACTTAATGTTAGAAGGAAGACAGACAGACTATGGAATGTTTTCTTCGTTGTTACCAATTTGGACACTCTCCTTAGCACTTGACTTCCCTTGTATCTGTACTGTCCTTGTCTGGTGTTTTAAATAAAACAAAAGTGAAAAGGGAGAAAAAGCTTAAAAAGAAAGATAAACGTTGGGGTGGATCATACTGGTGGTTAGGTTACAGGGGAAATCCAGGAATCCGTCGACTGTGGCTTAGTAGGTCACTGTGCATTCCTGTGTATTTAAGACCAAGAACCATTGCGTCTATCTACATGGTGAGCCCGTTTCCCTAACAACCAAGAAGTTGTTCTCTTTTTTCCTCCGTTTAAGAAGACAAGAGTAGAAACCCTTCTTCTTCTTAGTGAACGATGAGAAGAGCTTTCTGCAGGACATATTGATTGTGATCGCTCTTGTATGACACACACCACCTAGCGAGCAAGCAGTCTTTAACAGACTCTGGCCTCCTACTATTCAAGTAGGGAGCAACGTGAGAAGTGCCCAACCTGCTCTTTGCTACAGAGACTGAGGCCGTCCCTTGGATTCATCCTCTCTTCCTTGGCGTTTCTAACTGTATGATGTGTGTATATTTTCTGCGTCAAATTACGATTTAATATATAAGCTTTTTTTCAAATGCTTTTTCAAACAGGTCAGCAGGATTGCTTCTTTGCTGGGTTGATCTTCCTTAGTTTTTGTCGTTGCTGTTTGTTATGAGCCACCTGCTCCTCTTTAACTCCCTTTTGATTTCTCCCTGCCGTATGGTTTTTTGTTGTGTTTTGTTGTTGTGTTTTGTTTTTATAGGAGTCCATCCCCTGCCTTAGAAAGGAATAAGGTAGTACAGATATCTTCAAGTTCATGCCAAAGTACTGGATTCAAAGTCGGGGATCCTTAAGAGAAAATTCAGTGGGATGGTTGGAATTCACATCAACATCTCTGTGTTACCATTTAGTCTCTGATCGAAAGACATATGCACACTTCAATTCTTAAAGAATCTAAACTGGTTTTCCTCTTAAAATTTTTTCCTCTCATCTTCTCCAGAATCTTCAGCTACTTGGAGCTACAGCCATTGAGGATAAATTACAAGATCAAGTGCCTGAAACTATAGAAACTCTCATGAAAGCAGATATCAAAATCTGGATCCTCACGGGGGACAAGCAGGAAACCGCCATCAACATTGGTAATTCACCTAATTTCAAACTCTAAATTTTGATGCTTAACACGTTGACATATTTTAGAAGACAAACTTGAGATATTTCAAGATCTGAAAGACGTGGTTTTGTAAGATCTCCATTTGTAATAGTATTGGGCTTACCTGTTTACTAATGGCCCCTTTGCATTTAACAAGTCTCCCACAACCACAAAATAATCCTCTCTCACCTTTGTATTTCTACCTACCTCTACTGTATTTCTACCTACCTCTACCTTCCATCCATAATTGACGCATGTAGGTAACATCTCTGCAGCTGTCTGTGAAAGTCTGGAGACTGGGTTTATGGCAGGCTTGTATAGTACTGGCACTTGTTCATGTGACCAAAGGTGATTTCTGGGAAGGGAAATAAGGTTGCCAGTTCATCCCACATTCATCCTGCAGTTAATTCATTCTTCAGAAAGAGGTTTTATTAGTCTGCTCACGCTGCCATAACAAAATACCACAGATAGTGCGAGTTCAATAACAGAAATTTATTTTCTCTCAGTTCTAAAAACTGGAAGTCCAAGATCAAGTGTCAGCAGGTTTGGGGTCTCCCGAAGCCTCTCTTCCTGGCTGGCAGTGGCCACCTTCCTCCTTGTCCTCCATTGACCTCTCCTCTGTATCTACAGAAGATACACACTCCCGGTGTCGCTTTCATTTCTTAGAAGGGCACCGTTACTATTAGATCAGGAACCTGCCTTCTGATCTCATTTAGTTCTAACTTCTTAAAAGCAGGTTCTGCAGATACTGTGCAATAGGGCTTCAGCATGTAAAATGAGGGGGACACAGTTCAACCCATAATAGAGGTCTTACTGAGAAGAAGGTGAATATTTGGTGTGAGGCCTATTATACCAGTAATGTGCAAAAAAAGTCACTTTTTTTTTCTTCCACATTCAGTATAGCAGGTGGCCTGCACTCTGTAAACCCTGACATAGATTCGGCCTCTGGATATTAATGATATGAATTACATCCAAAACTCTCCCAAAGTCGAAGAAACCGTTCAGAGGCATTGACAGCATAAAACCACATTTTTAGAAAGTCACCGTCAAGTATCATTATTTAAGAAACATTTAGCTAATACTCCTTTTAGAAGTTTTAGTAATCTCAGTATTCCTCATATATAAAACCCCAGATTTATACTAAATGGCTGATAGTAGAGGAAAATTATTTTTTTAAAGACACCAGCTAGTAGAAGTTTAAATCTATAAGCCACGCAAATGGTTAATTTGGATTATAAAAATTATCACTGGTGTTAGAGACAAATGGAAAGAAAATGTGCAAAGGATATAGAATGCTTTAGAGTTGGGAGACCTGAAAAAGACAAATATGCTGAATTGAAAACATGGCTACAGGTGGAGGGAGACTGTATGGTGGCAGAGTGATACCTGAGGAAAATAAGTTCAGGGTGTGTAGCCATGACGACAGTTCCTGTGAAGAGTACGGTGGTGGCATCTGGTAACATTTAACTTGTAGAGTCTTGGGCCATAATCTTTGGGGCCTTTTTCCTAGAATAAAGCTGGTGATACTCATTCATATAACAAATGGTTACGGTGCGTTGCACAGAAGGATTCAGGTTTAAGTGAGAAGGTCAGAAAGAACTCATCGAGATGGTGACATTTGAGAAACGACCTAAGAGAGTTGATAGAGCTTGTCCTTCGGATGATGAGGGAAAGCTGTCTTCTGTTCTGGAAAGAGAAGAAATGCAGAGAGGGAGAGTAGGAGAAAAGGATAGTGTAACCGAGCCCAGATTGGATGGGGCCTCCCAGGCCCCGGGGAAGGAGGGGGGCTCTGTGTTTACTCTGGGGAGATGGGCAACCCCAGGGTGGTTCTGAGCAGAAGAAAGATGGGGACTGGCTTTCCCATGAAAATGACTTTCCACAGTCTGGCCTGTAGGCTGACAGAGAATGGACTGGAAGGGAAGCAGGGGTGGAAGCAGGGAGACCAGAGAAGAGGCTGTTATGTTAATCCAGGTGAGGCACAGTGGTGACTGGGACCTGGGTGGTAACAGTGAAGGTGATGAGAAATGGCCAGAATATTATTTTAAAGGATTGACTAATAGAGTGGATGTGTCGGGTATGAGAGAAACACGGACTCAGGCATAACTCTGAGGAATTTTAGCCATCGTGACTGAAGGATGGGGTGGTCGTTAACCAAAATGGGGAAGACTGAGGAGAAGCAGGTGCTCTGGGAGGACATCAAGAATCTAGGTTTTGGATATGTTAAGTTTGAGATGCCCGTTTTGCACCTCAGCGTCTGCTGTTAACACAGACACTGGGATGTGAGAGTCTGGGGTTCAGGAAAGAGCTCTAAGTGGGAGATGTGAGTCCCAGAATGATCAAGGTGTAGGTGGTATTTAAAACCATTGTATCTGGGGCACCTGGGTGGCTGGGTGGCTCCTTGGCTGAGCGTCTCCCTTCAGCTCAAGTCGTGACCCCGGCGTCCTGGGATCAAGTCCCACATCGGGCTCCCCGAAGGGAGCCTGCTTCTCCCTCTGCCTGGGTCTCTGCCTTTCCTTGTGTGTCTCTCATGAATAAATAAAATCTTTAAAAATAAACAAACAAACCATTGTATCAAACGAGCTCACAAAAGGAGCAAGTATAGGTGATATTATTTTACGTGCAATGGTCATATTTTAAACACCAGTCAGCAGGGTGGCTTGTTTGGCTCCAGCCACATTCGTCTGTTTGCAGATGGGTTCAGAGCAGCAGAGGTGGTTTAACCAGTAGGTGATTTTGCTCTGCGGTAAGTATAGCAAAGCAAGAGGACGGGACCTCAGAGGGCAGGACCACAGTCCAGGGGCAGGGCCATGGTGGTGTGGGATCAGCGGTCCAAAAGATATAGCCAGGCAGCCCTCCTGCACCTTCCCCACGAACAATCACCAGCCCCTCTTCTGCTCCTCGTGTTGGTCATCAGGAAGGCTATTCCACATGAATTTATTAGGTTTTGGGACACTGAAAGTCATTACCATATTGTCTTTCCCTACTTGTTGATCAAAACAACCTTAACACGCCCAGTGTTACCCTTGTGTCCCTCCTATAAGAAGGAAGAACGTGCCTTCAACGTCCTGCAAACCTGGAAACCGCTGACTTCATCAGCGTCCTAATAAAATAGACAAAACCTTAATTTTATCTATAAATAAGATTTAGGTTATTTTTAGAGTGTTACCACTTTAGCATCTTCACTGCTTCTCTCTAGAGAAATGGATTCTATCAATTAATCTACTCTGTGTTTGGACATAGGACACTCCTGTAAACTGTTGAGGAAGAACATGGGAATGATCGTTATAAACGAAGGCTCTCTTGATGTAAGTAAAATCATTTTTTTAATCCTTTAACAACTTAATCATCTTGCAGTATTTTATATTCAAATAGCTTTGGAAATGTTTGATCTTCCTCAGGTTAAAAGATGATTCTCGCTCCTGCTCTGGTGTCACGTAACGTTTACTGGTCTGAACCATGTTGATGTAAATAGATTCCAGTTTTATGTCCACAAGCAGCTAAAACAAGTCACTGAATGATTTGCTTGATGGTGTGAGACGAAACTGCTTTACAAAAGCATCATGTCAGGAGGTTACTGAGTGATTGCAGCTTGTTCATATCTACCTGGGAATTTTGTATATTCATCACTTACTATCTGCTTTATCTTCCAGGGTTCATATATATTTTGTTTCTTTAAAAAGAAATCTGTGGAACCTATTAAATGGCATGAATTCACCATTCCTTATAGGAAAGTCATGTTGTTCTGTTTTGGGTTTTTTTAGCGTCCTAATTTCTGGGCTGAAATGTAAATCCCTAGGATGTCCTTTTCTCAGGGCTGCGATCACATGAAGTTATATTTGGGAAAGAAGGGAAGATTTGTTGCGTGTACAGTGTAAAATAGAAGTTACGCCAAAAAAAAAAATTGCAGGTCAAATGACCTGTAAGAATTTTAAAGTAAAGGTGAGTGTTTGTAACTTAAGGTGGAAGACAGAATGAGGGAGGTGACTATACAGCTGCTTGAAATAGCCACTGTGACGCAAAAAGCGGAGCAGAGAAAAACCTGTTATTAAAGATGTGAGTGAAGTGGAGAGGCCACTGTGTTCGAGGGATGGTGAAGAGGCAAATGTTCAGAAGTCAGGAGGAGAACAGAAATTATATGTAAGAAGTGATTTGACTTCTGATTTTTGGATTGGTTGATGGTCTCTTCATGATTTGGCCTCAAAAACAAGCCCTGTGATCCTTTTCCCTTTCTTGTGAAATCTTTGAGACACTGGTAGCCTAAAGAATAACACATGATTTTTGAAACCGTGAAAGTTGTTCACATCCTCAATAATAAGTACATTTTGTGAACCATGCCTTAATCCTACAAGCACAAACTAAAAAAAAAAAAAAAAAAAAATTTCTAGCCTGTGGTTGGAAGACTTTCCTTTTTATTTACTTGTTCAGTAGACCTCTGACAGGCACCGAGAACATGCCCCTAAGTGAACACTCAAGGGACCCCGCACCTTCTGGTTTGCTGTCTCTGTTCCCTAACTCCTCAGGTTGTTAATTTTTTGGTTTATTCAAGTTACAATGTTGTGAAAAATTATGACTGTGCTAGCCTTGCCCTTCAAAAGCTCACAGATAATAAGTAAAATGCAAACAAGAACAAAACAGATACCAAAAATTTTTTTAAAAAATAAAAATGAAGAACAAAACAGATACAGAAATAAGGTAGGCATCTTGCTATGAAATTATATATTGTGAAGTTCAGGGAGGTGTTGTTAAAGTAAGCGGCGTTTAGTTAGAGGCGAGTAGCTGAGTGATGGAGGAACACCTGAAGCAGAAACTGAATGCAAGTCAGTTCAAGGTATATTTGGGGTGTGAAAGAGGAGCGTTGAACACAAGGTCATAATTTTTTAAAGTTTTCTTGGACTAAGTGTAGGCACGTAAGGGGTAAAGTTAAAGCTATAGAAAGGGGCAAATGCACGTGTTAAAAATGTGAACCCGCCTCCTTCACACCCAAGCTCCCTGGTTTCTGCCCCGAGGGATGGCCACCAGCTCCAGTGTCCGAGGGCTCATCCAGCGATGTTGTGCCATGGCTGGGGGCTACACACGTGTTTGTCGGTGCACAGACCCTGTTATCAAACACAAGTCACAACATGTGGTTCACGCTGCTTTATACTTCCTCTCCTTAGCAGTTGCTCTGCAATAGCATAGGTGAAGCCACCCAGGTCGTCTCCAACGGTGGCACAGCGGAGAGATGACAGAGGAGTGGAAGCTGGAAAGGTGGTCTCAGGTCAGCTGTGGGGGTCTGGGCCAGCTCTGAGGACTTGCTTCCACCACGGGCAAGAGAGGCAACTTCATCAGCCTCTTCAAAGAGGCGGGATGGGAGACAAGGGTCAGAAGGGTGGTGAGGCATGGGGTGCAGGCAACGGGCCGGGAGACGTAGGTAAGAAGGGATGGGGGCCCAGGGCCAGCGATGTGGCATGAGGGAAATTTGGGGAGGCTTATCCCATGGGATCCCTGGAGTGGCTCCAGAATTGGGTGGCAGTTGTTGACAACTCCGCAGAAACTTCGGGGGAAGCCTTCTCTGCATCTCCGTAGACGTTTAAGACTTTGTCAGCAACATGGGTGACAGGCACTAGATACTTTTTCTGAAAGACATCCGAGGTGAGGCCTGTGACACTGATGCCCAAGTATGACCGGCCTGGCTTGATCTGACGCGTGAACCTTTCTGTCCTGGTGTAAAAGCTTTCACCCCGTGCAGGCTGTGACAGCAAGGCTTCTTTGGTTGTCGTCTGCCTCCTAACTGTTCTCCCAAGTCGGATATAATGTTCTCTATGTGTCGCAAGTAGTGAGCGATAGAAATCATAATCCCAAGAGGAGAAAAAGAAAAAAAATAAAAGTGAAATGCCAAAAATATTCACTGTACCGCATCATGATGGTTAAGAGCAGGACCTTTATTTTCATTTTGAAGTTTTCAGGGTGGTGACTCGTAAGTGATGAGCACCTGGAAAGTCCCAGCACGACCTGTCTCTCCTGGACCCAACCAGGTGGGGCTCCCAAGCCAGTAGTTTCAGTGAAAGCAGGGGTCTGTGCCTGCCTGTTTTGCTTTCCTTTTTTTTTTTTTTCTGTTTTGCTTTCTAATTCTCCAGCATGCCCAGCAAATTGCCGACCACACAGTGAGTCCTCCATCTCTATGTGAGAATTAAGTCACTGAGTAATTATAAATTAAGGATTTCCCTTAAAAAAAAAAATAAAGTTGGAAAAAAATAAAAAATAAATTGGGGACCCCCCCCCCGAGTGGCTCAGCGGTTAAGCACCTGCCTTTGGCTCAGGGCTTGACCCTGGGGTCCCCGGATCAAGTCCTGCATCGGGCTCCCTGCATGGGGCCTGCTTCTCCCCCTGCCTATGTCTCTGCCTTTCTCTCTGGGTCTCTCATGAATAAATAAATAAATAAAAATCAAAAAAATATATATATAAATTAAAAATTTTTTAAAGTTGTATATCGGCTTTGAATTCAGCAGTATTGATCTTGTCTGATGAGGTGTTTAGAAAGGCCCGTGGCTGTCCAAGTGACCGCATGGAGTGGGAGACAAACGGATTAACGCTAATGAACCCAGCTCTGGGAAGCCTTGCTTTTTCTCTCACTGCATCTGGGGAAGGTTTTTCTCCCAGGGAGTTAAGTGGTGACTTTACAAATCTGGCTGTTTGGGGTCAGACCCGCTGTGGTGCTCTCATTTGCTTCTCAGCAGGAAAGGAAACATCACTTTGCATAGCTCCTTCAGATCTTGCGTCGTAAAATCCACAGCTGAGATTTCAAGCAAATCATTAGATGTGCTAGAAAGCCTGTAGATAAATCACGATTTATTTTTCATTGTCGTGGGAAAGCAAAGCATCCTGTGTGTTCAGATTGTTACCGAGCCTGATAAAATATGGGATTACCATTCCATCAGCACAAACAACTAACGTGTAGGTGATAAACTTGGCAGGAGGGTAATATCTTAGGAAATCATGCAATAGGAAATGCATTGTGGGTGTGTGTTTCATCAAGTGACAGTTCTAATGAGCGTGCTCAGATGATTCTGTAAAATGACACAATTGTGCCCTATTCTGAACGGAGATCCTGGACTAATTGAAATTAGGTCACGTCTCCGAGCCAGTTTTGCTGCCTGTAAAGGGAGGATAACGTCACCCTGGGCACGGGACTGGTATGGGTCGTACCGGGCACGGCGTGTTGAAGAAAGACACGGTATAAAGTTTCGTAGAAAAATAGTATTTCAGCAGCTTGCAAGTTGTTTTGCGGAATGATCATTTTCACTACGAAAGATCTATTATTTCACCATCTTCTAATTTTTTTTCTAAGCAAGATATAAATGTAGATCTTCTTTTGCCTAAGTGACGCATGTTGCTATGAACCGTGCACGTTTTCTACCGAGATATTCTTAATGCTAATTGTTCATTTTAAAACCGAATCTTTTTTTTTTATGTTGAACTCGTACACGTAAAATATTATATTTGGGGCTCTTCCGCTTCCACGTAGAAAAACCTTTCTCCTGGCAGTCACCATAATGGGAATTTTTGTCTTCCCATCTCTAGCTCATGTCAAAAAAAAAAAAGTTATTTGGCTTTCTGATTTTCTCATTTGGAGTTTGCATACAATTATCCTTCTTGAAAAATTAACAGCTGTTCAGCATTTTTTAAAACCGTTAAGTAAAAGTATGAAACCCAACCGCAGTTGAAAATACCCACCATTTGCTTCGATGTGGATGGAACTGGAGGGTATGATGCTGAGTGAAGTAAGTCAATTGGAGAAGGACAAACATTATATGGTCTCATTCATTTGGGGAATATAAAAAATAGTGAAAGGGAATAAAGGGGAAAGGAGAAAAAATATGTGGGGAATATCAGAAAGGGAGACAGAACATGAGAGACTCCTAACTCTGGGAAAGGAACTAGGGGTGGTGGAAGGGGAGGAGGGCGGGGGGTGGGGGTGACTGGGTGTTGGGCACTGAGGGGGGCACTTGGCAGGATGAGCACTGGGTGCTATTCTATATGCTGGCAAATTGAACACCAATAAAAAAATAAATTAAAAAAAAAAGAAAATGCAGAGTGAAAGTCTTGCTCTAAAGATCTGATTTGGAAATCGACAGGCCTCTGCCCTTCCTGGCTCCCTTCACATTCACAGCAGGAGCAGCAGCAGCCCTGCTAATGCACTGCCCAGAGCACAGCAGGTGTTCACGCCCAGGCCCCTGCCACCTGTTGTTCCGTATCCACAGCGTCAGCAAAAGAGTTTCCTAGAAAGCTTAATCATTTTTTTTCTCTTAGTTTAGAAAATAGGAGT